TTTTTTTTTGAGTTGGAGTCTCACTGTTGCCCAGGCTGAAGTGCAGTGGCATTCTCCTGGCCACCACAGCCTCGCCCTACTGGGCTCGAGTGATCGTTCCACTTCAGCCTTCCAAGTTGCTGTACTACAGGAGTGTACCACCAAGCCCAGCTAATTTTTTTGATTTACTGCAGAGACGAGGTCTCGCCATGTTGCCCAAGCTGGTCTCGAACCCCTGGGCTCAGACAATGCTCTCGCCTCAGCCTCCCAAAGTACTGGAATTACAGGCTTGAGCCACTGAGCCCGACTGTCAGCACTTACAGCATTTTTCTACAGCTTGTCTCCCCCACACTGAATAGTGGCAGCCTGGAGCAGCTGAAAGCAGACTTTTAATCCGAACATATTTAGATAGAGCCCCTTCTCATTCACTAGCTGGAAGGCTTTGAGTAAGCGATTTAGTTAGTTTTAATTTATTTGTGAAATGAGAATAACAAAAGTATCTACCTCACAGTAACGCTAAAAATCGAAAACAGTATATATGTGTGTAAATGTGCCTGGCCCATAGCTCACCAAATATTAACTACCGGTATTACGACTAAGATGCCTTAGAACAGGGGCCCGGGGCCGCGGACCGGTACGGTCCGTGGCCTGTTAGGAACCGGGCCGCACAGTAGGAGTTGTGTGGCGGGCGAGTGACGCTCTGCTTCTGTCAGATCAGTAGCAGTATTAGATTCTCATAGGAGCACCAACCCTATTGAAACTGCGCAGGTGAGCGATCGTCGCGCGCTCCTTATGAGAATCGAATGCCTGACGATCCCCGTCCGTAGAAAAACTGTCTTTCACAAAGCCGGTCCCTGGGTTAAAAGGTTGGGGACTGCTGTCTTAGAACTACTCAGTTCTCAGACTCTCCGCCTCTAGACCGCAGGAACCTCCCCAGAGCGCACCAATCTTCCCAGGCCACACCCTCAGGTTTTCTGTAGGCCCCGCCCTCTTCTAAGCCTACCAGGCCTCCCCAGCCCACCCGAACCGGCCCTCCGCAGTACCTGACCCATAGCGCACATCGTGTGAGTGCAGCCGGACGTTGTGGCGCGTATTGAGTAGCTTCACCACAGAGCCGCAAGTAACGACAGCCAGGCTGGACGTTCCCACGGCGCTCCACAAACCCCCGAACAGCAGTAGTGATACCACGGACATCCCGGCTAGAACGCGGAGCCCCAAATCTTCGAAGAAAACTCGGCCCCTCCCCGGAACCGGAAGCTAAAGGCGGAACCACTGAGCGAAGGAAGTAAAAAAATCCTAGTCTGATCTTTATGATTCCTTTAGCTAGAGCGGTCTGAGAAACTCGCTGGGCTTAGTTACTTACCACCCCCTCACTCCGTTCTGGTGGCTCCGTAACGGCGGACTTCCTGAACCACTTCTGACAGCTTTCGCACCCCCCGGATTAGACCCCTGAGAGATGGGTGGGAGAAGAGAACAAGAAATGGCCCGCCTACTCCCAGTGACAGGGAACCGGAAGTGACGGAGGACGTTGACGCAGCAGCGGCGGTGGTGGCGGTGGTGGTGGCGGCGGAGGGGCCGTGCGGTGGGACCGTACTATCCTCTCCCAGTCTCGGTTCGACGCCTCCATTTTCCTCGGTGGGGGCTCAGCGCAACCGGAGAAGCTGCAGGCTTCAGGCAGGTAAAGTTCCTACTGGAAAACGTGCTTCTCGTATGGGTCAGGCGGGGAACAGGGCTCCCAGGGCCTGGTCCCGTAAGGGAAGAGTCACTGGGGAACCGTATGCGGGAAGAAGGGGGGCCCCGGCCTTCTCTGCTCTATGGGGGGGATGGGAGAGGAAAACGGGGTACTTGCTCAGAGTCCCGAGGCTTTTCCCAGCCAGGTAGCACCCGAAACCCTTGAATTAGGTGGCCTGTTGAATCAGCTGGCTTCCTGGGATTCCTGTCCTTCTCTCCGCAGCTTCTGATAACTGGGCCACACGAAAGGATTAGGAATGGAAGGGACCTGGGGCTTCTGAGCCAGGATCAGGTGATCGAATTGTTTGTTTTGGGATATGAATCCTACGGAGCTTTCCGTAGCCCGGCCATCAGGCTAGAGGGCGATGCTAAATTCCAGTTCTTTCCATATTGTTAAGTAATACATTTAGAAATTTTTGTAGATGGCTGCATCTTTCACCCCTTTCTAAAGATCAAAGGTCTTGTTTAAGTATCAGAAACCCTTTAGCTCTCCATAGATTCATTTCCTCCAACATTTGCCAGATGCTTACCACGAACATCAGAATGAGTTGTTAAGTCAAAACTACTTTCTTCTATTTCTGCCTTTCTCCCCAGGCATTCTTTTGAACCACCTGGAGCAATTCATTTTTCCCTGGGTTGTTGCAAGAACTTATAGTTATTTTTCTTTAGGTATAAACCTAAGCTCTCTGAAAAACTTCCATGGAAATTCACTGTAATGTCAGAAGTAGCAAGGGTGTACTAAGCTACAACACCATTAATGACCATAGAGAGTGTATACAGTTTGAGTTTGATTAATTTCTTCGGGAAGAAGTTTGGTTCCTCTCTTTATTTGAAAGTTGCAAGTTTGTAAGTCTTCAGTGTCTTGATTACAACAGCATAACTGCTCTCCCATCAGCTGTGAATTTAGGGCCCTCTTCCATGACTGCTTGTCCCACCAGTACAAGTCCATTTTTATTCAATTGGTTTGTGTGGCTACTAGATTAGATGAGCATAGTGTTGTTATTCGCTAAGAGGTTTTAACCTCATCAAGAGATTAATTATATGGGGAAGTGGTGCAGTCTGGAGAAGCTTAGTCATATTTTCCAGTCCTTCCTCTGAAATTTCTTTCTTTCTTTTTTTTCCTTTTGTGTTGGAGTCTCACTCTGTCACCCAGACTGGAGGGCAGTGGCACGCTCCCAGCCACCGCAGCCTCGACCTGCTAGGCTCCAGTGATCCTTCTGCCTCAACCTTCCAAATAGCTGGAACTACTGGCGTGCACTACCACACCTGGCTAATTTTTTGATTTATTGTTGAGATGAGATCTATGCCAAGTTGCCCAGGCGGGTCTCGAACCCATGGGCTCAGGCAATCCACTCACCTCAACCTCCCAAAGCGCTGGGATTACAGGCTGAGCCATCGAGCCATGCTTGAAATTTCTTTCACAAGCAAGAAAGGCTACCTAGTGTTGGCAGATTGATAGTGGTTGATGGCGCCACTATCAATCCTATGTGTAGTCTTTAGCATCCTTTCTTCCTATTATTTCTGAATACAATCAATCATCAAATTCTGTCTCCCCACAACAATCTATTCCTTTCATCATACAAATTATATTCTGGTATCCTTCACATCTCTCTCCAACTACCATCATAATTTTTTAAAGTTTCCCTTCATAGCCAGGTTTCTATATGTGCCAACACATCTTTCTGACTTTTTTTTTTTTTTTTTTTTGAGTTAGAGTCTCTGTTGCCTATGCTAGGGTGCAATGGTACGCTCATGGGCCACCACAGCATTGACCTGCTAGACTCAGGAGATCCTTCCGCTTCAGCCTTCTAAGTAGCTGGAACCGCAGACGCACATCACCATGCCTGGCTAAATTTTTTTATTTATTGTAGAGATGAGGTCTCGCCAAGTTGCCCGTGCTGGTCTCGAACCCCTGGTCTCAGACAGTCTTCTCACCTTGGCCTCCCAAAGTGCTGGGATTACAGGATTGAGCCACCACACTCAGCCCATGACTTTTTTCTTTTTTTTTTGAGTTGGAGTCTCAATCTGTTGCCCAGACTGGAGTGCAGTGGCCGCTCCCGGCCACTGCAGCCTCCACCTGCTGGGCTCCGGCGATCCTTCCGCCTCAGCCTTCCAAGTAGCTAGAATTACAGGCATGCGCTACCACGCCTGGCTGATTTTTTTGATTTATTGTAGAGCTGAGGTCTCGCCAAGTTGCCCAGGCGGGTCTCGAACCGGTGGGCTCAGGCAATCCACTCACCTCAGCCTCCCAAAGGCGCGGGATTACAGGCTGAGCCACCTAGCCCGGCTACTTTTTTTTTTTTTTTAATTACTCTTTTTTCTTCTGACACACATAATCTTTCTAATGTGTACATTTACATAGTGCCCTTCGTCTCACACCTTCTCAAATGTTCTCCCTCTGGCTTCTTTTTTTTTTTTTTTGAGTCAGTCTCATTCTGTTGCCCAGGCTGAAGTGCAGTGGCACGCTCACAGCCACAACAGAATCCTTCCACCAAGTAGCTGGAACCACAGGCATGCACCACCACCCCCAGGTAATTTTTATTTTGATTTATTGTAGAGACGAGGTCTCTCAAAGTTACCCAGGTTGGTCTCAAATCCCTAAGCTCAAGCACTCCTCCCACCTCCGCCTCCCAAAGTGCTGGGATTACAGGCGTGAGCCACTGCTCCCAGCCATCTCACTTTTTATTTTTTATTTTTATTTATTTATTTATTTTTTTGAGTTGGAGTCTCACTCTGTCGCTCAGACTGGAGTGCAGTGGCCACTCCCAGCCACCACAGCCTCCACCTGCTGGGCTCTGGCAGTCCTTCCACCTCAGCCTTCCAAGTAGCTGGAACTACAGGCGCGCGCTACTACGCTCGGCTGATTTTTGATTTATTGTAGAGATGAGGTCTTGCCAAGTTGCCCGGGCATGTCTCAAACCCGTGGGCTGAGGCAATCCACTCACCTCAGCCTCCATCTCACTTTTTATTCACTCTTCAGCCTGCAACAGTCTGACTTCTCTTCTGTCCACTCCACTGAAATTGTTCTTGTCAAGGTCACCAGTGATTTCTGTGTTGCCAATTCCAATGGATACTTTGTTCTCATCTTATTCCTCTCTGGAATTCAACTTAGTTACTCACTCCTTTCTTACAACTCTCCTCTTGGCTTCTTTGACACTTCACTCCTAGGTTTTTTCCATTTCTTTGGCTGTTATTTCTCAGCCACTTTTGTTCTCTACCTAATGTCTAAATGTTGGAATTCTCTCAGGATTTAATCCCAAGTCTTCTACATGCTTCCTTTAGGTAACCCAGCCCTGTAGCTCTATTATTGTCTGAAAGCTGGCAGTTCCCAAGTTTATATTGTATTTTATTTATTTATTTTTATTTTGAATTGGAGTCTTACTCTGTTGCCCAGGCTGGAGTGCAGTGTTACGATCACGGCTCATTGCAGCCTGAACCTTCTGGGTGCGGGTGATCTTTCCATCTCAGCCTCCCAAGGTGCTGGGATTACAGGCATGAGCCACTGCACCTGGCCCCAAGTTTAAATCTCTAGCTCATTGGAAGCCTGAGGCAAAAGGATCGCTTAAGCCCAGCAGGTCAAGGCTGCGGTGGCCGTGAGTGTGCCACTCTAGCTTGGGTGACAAGAGTGAGATTCCAACTCAAAAAAATTAAAAAATCTCTAGCTTAGCCCTCTCCTCTGTGTTCCAGACTTATATGTCAAAATGAATGTTTGAATATGTCCATTTGGATATCTCTTAGGGACCCCAAATCTCACATAATCAAAAGAAAGCTTTGATTTTCTCATTGTTCCAAAACTGGTTTTCCCTATTTCACTAAGTGGTATTCTTGTCCATACTGTTATCAAAGCCAGACCTCTGAAAATCATCATTGATTTTTCTCTTTTACTGCTCCTCTTCCCCAATCTGCCATGTCCAAGATATAGTTTCTTTTTTCGTTTTTATTTATTTATTTATTTATTTTAGTAGGAGTCTCACTCTAGTCCAAGCTAGAGTGCAATGGCACACATGGCCAATGCAACCTCAACCTGCTGGGCTCAGGTGATCTTTCCGCCTCAGCCTTCCAAGTAGCTGGAACCATAAGCGTTTGCCACCATACCCAGCTGATTTTTTGGTTTATTGTAGAGACGAGGTCTCGCCTAGTTGCCCAGGCTGGTCTCAAACCCCTGGACTCAGGCAGTCCTTTCACCTCTGCCTCCCAAAGTGCTGGGATTGCAGGCGTGAGCCACCATGCCTGGTCAAGATATATTCTACTCTTGTCCTTACTCTCTGTCTCCACTGCTACTACCCTATTCTCAGCCACCCTCATCTTTTACCTGAGCTACCACAATAGTATTCTTAGTTTTCGCTATATCCACTCAAATCTTACTCCAGTCCATTTTCCATGTAACAGGATCAGCTCAAGGCAGATTATGTCATTTCCTTACTTAAAACTTTCTAGTGGCTTCCCATGGCCTTCACACACCACTTGAGCAGGGTCTTCCTTATATACTACTGCCTTCATACCAAGTTCCTGCCCAGTTAGTCTACTGGAACCTCTTCCCCTGAGGGTTATATCTTACCCCTTCTAACTAAACTCACCCTCTCAGAGATGAGGCTGTGTGTTTCCTTCCCAGTACTTATAAAAAGATTTATTTTATTTGTCTGTGATTCATCTCTTGCACGAGAATATAGGTATTCTAGAGTCGGGGACCTTGTCTTATAATGCCTGGCATGGGGTAGGCACTCATTCAAGTAAATATTTATGGACCTTAGCAAGTAAATTAAGTC